CCTATAAAATGTGCTGCTTCTCTCCTCTTCTCTCCTCCTATTTTTTCCTCTTTTCCCCCCTCCCTGTCCTCCCTTACCACCTCCCATAGGCTGAGGGAGGCAACAACTCCTTTGATTTGCACATAGAGGAGCAAGAATCAGCCCCCTTCCCACAGTATATGCAAAAGTTCTCACTCTATCATTTTGGCACCCTTATCAAGAGAGAGAATCCTAATTAGACGTCAATTCTGGGAAGCAGAAAGGATATGATTATATGAATTTCCAAAAATAAATCTTGTTAATCCTTTAACTAGTGAGAAGAAATTATTTAAACGAATTACCCATACCAATTCCAAAAAATTCTCAGACTACACATACCTTGGAGATTTCATTTTCCTCTAAGATGTGTGTTGTTGTTGTTTCCTTTTTCTCCAAGAGCAATGCAGGGCATTTTTCAATGAAATAAAAGAAAGTGAGCAGCCCTTTTAAAATGTACTTTAGTGTGTAAAATAAACTGGCAAACAAAATAGATTCAGGAGCACGGATACATGGAACAGACTGACAGAGGTCAGAGGGGAGAGTGGTGGGGGGCATTGGATAAAAGAAGGTGAAGAGATTCGCATAAGAACATATATGCATGGCCCATGGACACAGAGACAATAGTGGGATGAAGGCTGGGGAGGTGGGCAAAGGGAAGTGGTGGTGAATGGGGGACATCTGTAATGGTTTCAATAATAAAAATTAATTTAAATTCTAAAAAAAATTTTACAGTTAAAAAAAAAAAGCAGTTCGAACATCTCAGGCACTTTAAAACCTGAACTGGCTAATAACTAGGGGTCTTAGATGCATACCCTGTTTAATAAAGTAACTTAGCTAACAATGTTTTTACACAGGCACATCACAATTACTGCTCAACATCTATTAGAATAGGCAAACAACAATAACAACAACAATACGTTAATTTACAAATACAAATGACCTTTTCTTGGAAGGTCTAAACCATATTTCCTGGAAGGACTTCAGTAGAAGAGGTGAACGGGTGGCTAATGACTGCCCTGAACAGCTTTCCTGCACAGCTTTGCACTGGCCCAGGTGGTTCAGGAGGAAAATCGAGAAGGGCGGTTACCATGGAGGAACTCCATGCCTAGGTCAATGCCATTACACATATGCAAAAGGTGCCAGGTCCATAAGTGAGAGTGGCTCACATACTCCCATTCGTCAGAGATAAACAAATTCCTCCTTTTTAAGTAATTCAATAACCCTGCCCGGCATGGCCATGGCAGGTCAGAATTTCAATATGAATATGAGCAGTGCTAAGAGAGGGCTTGTTAAATGTTACATTATCTGTTTTATAATTTAAATATTATCAGGTATGGATTTATTTTTTTGTATCACAGATTAATCAAAATATGATCTTCCAGAGCCTTTAAAAAGCCATTGCTATAACAGTATTTAGTGAAAAACAAATAAAAGCACCAAACATAATAAAAGTGAATTTCAAGATCCTTCTCTGGCTTTTTGTTACATTCATGTTTATGAATCAGTTTCAAAACCAGTGCCAGTTTTTCTTAAGAAAAAATATAATATTCTGTGTGAGAATTTCAGAGTAAATGGTGCTTCCTGGCAGATAAGGTTAAATGAAAGAAGAGGTCTAGGATTTACCAACATGTTCAGAATTTCGTGGGTTTAAAAATATTCCCCAAAACTCCTTAATAGTCAATGATAGATTATTATCTCAAAGGAAAGAATCTCCCTACTGACAATTCCTGCCAGAAAAACAATTCCCTCTGGACATCCAGGTGAATTTTTTGGTGGAACCCCAGTTAAAAATCCTTCAGCCAATATGTTTATATGAACTGTCATAGAATAAAACAAAAATTACAAAGATTATATAGTTCCAGAACTTGCAAAATCTTACCAATAATTCCACCTCTTGTCACATTTTAAGAGATGAAAACCCAGAAAAGTTTGGGGATTTGCCCAAAGCATTTGTCTAGTTCCTTGGTCGGCAAACTGCGGCTCGCGAGCCACATGCGGCTCTTTGGCCCCTTGAGTGTGGCTCTTACACAAAATACCACAAAATACAACATGCGGGCGCACACGTACAGTGCGATTGAAACTTCATGGCCCATGCGCAGAAGTCGGTATTTTGTGGAAGAGCCACACTCAAGGGGCCAAAGAGCCGCATGTGGCTCGCGAGCCGCAGTTTGCCGAGCCGCGGTTTGCCTACCACTGGTCTAATTTATTTAAGCTCTAACCCCAGAATTATAAAAGAATAGATGAGTGATGAAAGCAGATTTTTGAAAATTAAATAGAGTCACCCCATGAACAATGACATACATCACGTCAAAATAAAATCAGGGAAGATTCAAAATCAGCCTATTATCATCACTATTAAAACTGGAGTTACAGAAAAATCACCTATTTTCTAAGTAACTTCTTTAACATAAGCTCAGATCCCCCGGACAGTTTAATTCGGGCTTTTGCATTTCATGAGATTATAAATTGTGCTGTTTTTATGATGAAGGAAAAGATGGTAAAATTCTAAATCAGAGCCCACCATAGAAGAGACATTATTTAGGGGAAATATCAACAAACATTAGAGAATGTACTAAAAATGAGCATACTTATTGGAGAATTTTCTGGGAGGGTCTTTCTAGCTCAGTCTTTCATTATTATATGAATAAAGCTCTTGGGGTAATCTGGACCACTAGCTAAACTGGCAACACTGGGAGGTAAGCTTCTTTCAAGAAACAAACAATATAAGAAGAAAAGCAAGAGCAACAACACTTCTGGTTTTTCAATGGCACCATTAACGAAGATGTGAACCATCAGTCAATTCCACCATGTTTTAGCCTTAATGTAAATAGTTTCTCTAAGACATCTAGAGAAACACGGGACATAAACTTTCAAAGTATGCCGAAGACTAATCAAGATAGATACGCCGTAGATGTAATTGAAGTAAACCATAGTACCCATTTGAGAGGATTGGTTTTTCAAATCAGTCCCACCCTTTAATACTTTGCTAGAGCCATAAAATGTAAGTGGATGTCTCCCCTACTCAATTCAGAGAGGCCCCAAAACCGAAACCAAGATGCACTGAGAAGTCATTAAATATATGACATGTCTTCTTTAAAAGCTCTGGCTATTTAACATTTAATGAAATGCCAAGGGCCTGCGTCCTCCGTGACATACGTTTACTACACAACAGTTTGAAGTTGGCGACATACTGCATCTGACTCCACAAAGTTACCTGTTACACATAATGGGTGCTCTCTGATACATCACAGGGGAAAGCATGTTAGTTTTGGATCTAAAGCAAATCACTTTTGATGCTTAGCATCTTATTCCTAGCATGACCTTGACAAATCAGATAAGTTAAGACATGATTCCCTTTAAGTTACTGCATTTGATGGATAAAGACTACTGCCTTAGCTGTAGCATCCTCCTAGTCCGAGGATATTTCTTAGACACCACCACAAATATTTCTCCTTGTAGGCACATTTTGTAAACTTATAAAGTATCTCTGTTGTTTTTAAATTCTTACCCAAACTAATAGGGTGCTGGCGTTTGAGAGATTTTTTTTTTTAATTCGTACAAACACATCACAATACAAACTCAAAAAGGTATAAATTTGATTCATTTTATATATTGGCTATAAGACATTTGTACAACAAACATAACATAATTGAAAGTTCCTAAGGGTTTTTTTTAATCTACCAGTTTTCAGAATTATGCATGCAAGCTGACAGTATTTTTTGATGTGACACAACTCTTAGTTTAATTCTTGAATATATTATGGAAACTAAATTTAGGAAACATAGACTGTCACTACATTAGAGCATATTATTCATGTAAAAGCATTATAGAAGAGAAACATAAAACTGAAATTCATAGATTACTCTGTAAAGCCACACAGCCATATTATCAAGGCAAGTGTCAAAGAATTATAATTTTGCATTATTGTGTTGTTGCCTCCACATGAATTTTCAACTCTCAGTTTTCATCAATCATAACGGAATTTCTGGCATTTAGACCAAATTCTCATGGATGTCAATACCACAGAAATAGATTCTAAATTATTTATTGGCCAACTCAGATGCTGTAGATGGGATATATTACAAGACATCAAAAGGACAAGAAGAATTAGAATTGGAATACAAGTTTATAAAGATCCTTATTCAAGAAGATAAACATCTTTTTTAATTTTGTAAATGCTGATCATAGATCACTGTCAGTTCTACCCACTTAGGACACCTCAGAAACTCATTGATCTCTGCATGCGGCTGCTTTCCCTCTGCACCCATAGGCATTCCTGGGCATTTTAAACCTACTGGGACCCGTCTCACCCTCACCAAGAACTTAAAGGACTACTAAGCACAAGAAAAACTCCAGTTCTCTGCTATTTATAAGCTAATTTACAGATGTCTTAATATGGGCACATTATTTTATTCTACAGGTATCACTGCTTCTAGCTGACAGCAAATAAGAGTCCCCTTAATTTAATAACAAAATTATGAACCTGCATCAGAGAAAAGCATTTGAACTTCCGTATACAAATAACACCTCAGATTCCTGGCAGGTAACTGTCTAGAAGTCTGTATCAGGAGCATTAATCATCACCATCAACTTGATCAATTATTTCTTCCAAATAAACTAGCCTTCCCTATTTTAAAGAAAACACAGTTGTTGAAAAACACCTCCAACAGAACGTAATTTAACCATCTACTACCTTGGCTTGCAAGATAATATTTGAATGGTTCATTAAAATGATAACAAAATCAATGAACTGCACCTAACATATTAATCATCTGCATAGACCTGGGCTGGTGATACTGTCTGGATAGAGCCTCTGGATGCTATCTGATGGGTATTCTTGCAACAAATCAAGCAATAGGTAGCACTTCAGTACTTACAGACTGCTCACCCAGGATACTATCTGGGCAACCTCTTGCAGTTAAGATTAAAGCACCACTCAAGGTTTATTGTTAAGGAGCGGGAGGCTGGAGGGGAGCGCTTACTTCGGAAATGCTCTGAAGTGTAATAATAGACATCCTCATAGCCCTCGTGGTAATCCTCTTCTGGCCGGTACTTTTTCCCCTTTCTTCTCCTAGATCTTCTTATTTGCCTGACGAAACCCAGGAAGCGGTCCATCTCTCCCTCCCCGCGCAGCCTGACTCAGCCAGCGCTGAGCCCAGCAGCAGCAGCCCAGCTGCTCAGCGGGCTGCTGGAGCATGAACGCCCAGCACCGAACCGGGACGTGCTACCCTTCCATCTGCCTCGGTGCTACCATCCACGCAGAGGTTTCAGCCACGGCAGGGAAAAACAAAAACAACACAGCGATATGGGTTCGCCTTGACAAGATTTCTTACTTTGCTCAGTAAACTGTCCAATGTGCAATTTAAGAAGAAAAACAAGGAAAGGAGGGAGAAAGTAAAATGATCAAGACTAAGAGATAAATTTAACAGCGAAGGCTTGGACTTCAAAAGGCTTCAAAACAGAGGAGAACAAAGTTCAACAAGCGATTCAGCTGAGGGGAGTCCCAGCACTAGGATTTCACTATGCAACATCTCCATCATCAGGGGCGGGGGTGTAGGAGCAGAGAGGGGCGGGAACTCGTGCTGGTCAACGGACTGAACCAAAGCTGGAGACAGAACCAGCTTTTTCTTACCTGCCAATCCCACCCCCCTCATCGAATGCCCTTTGCAATAGCAAAGAGCAGGGCTTGGGAAACTGCCCTGAAAGCTGTTGGTTTGCTCTGGATGGACTGATTAACCCTTTGTGCTCTCTTGCATATCATACTAATGAGCAGTTAAAGTGGTTCCATCCATAGGCACTGCCTCTTGCTGACAAAAGTGTGCTCTATGTGTTAATTGGAGCAGCAGGGAGAAGGCTCAGCAGCTGCTTTCAAATGACACATTTACCCACTGGGCATTAGTGTATTCCAATCGCTATTTGATCTAAATATTAAAATGCACTTCACAGAGAGGCTTGCTCATAGGCTTGGTAACAGCATATCATAATCAGCCAATAAAAGAAACTGCATGGTTCTGGGGGGAAGAAACACAAATAATCCAACTCTGCCTACAGTGAACTCAAACACAAGAGTTGGTACACTTTTTTAAAAATATGAAAATAAATAGGCTAAAAAGCAAATAAAAAGCTGGTTCTTAGTGAAGATGGGGAGGAGAAGTTTTGAGAAATGGTCACACCCTGTTCATCCTTTGTCTCTAAAATAGCAACCTTTTTAGAAACACTTCAGACTCCATGAAGGAGGTACTCTGAAGTCTAGACAGGTCAGCGTTAATCATGGACAATCTTTTTCTCTCTGGCTTCTTTCTTCAGGCCTTTAAATGAATGTGAATGCTTCATACCTGGAAAAATTCGTGTTTTTTTTTTTACAATATAAGTAAGCAAACATGACAGCAAGCAAACATATTACCTACTAAACAAATAACATTCTGCAACTCCATGTTCCCAGAAATGTAATTTTTTAAAAAGCTACTTACTATATAGAAGTCTTCCATGGCTACATAATATAAAGTCTGTAAGACCAGAAGGGAGTAAATGCACTTCGCATTATCTGTTGTTGGATTCACAAGCATTTGCCTCTCTTCTAGATATGAATAGTTCTCTATTTTCAAATATGACTTGCTAATGATTAGTAGGCAGACATTTACTTGAGAGGTAAATATTCATCAACCAGGAACATTTCAGCTCTGAAGTGTGTAAAGTTAGAGCCAATGAATTCCCACTGTTCCTACAGATTTCCCTTTTGTTTTTTTTCAATGCCTTCCAAGTGAATTTGTGAAGAGAAACACAAACTTAATGATGCTGACAAAAAGATACTACAAAATGTTTTAGGAACATCTTTAAACAAAAATTCATTTGTCCTTAGGTACCAAATATTTTCTTTATTATTCTGACTCCCCCAACCAAAATACACTAGAACAGTTTACAACAGTGAAATTTAAAGATCTGGAACCTAGACTTTGAATAGGTCAATAAGTAAATGATAATAATACATAACTTTTAATTTATTTCTCCTTTATAATGAGGTGATGCCTCTGTAGATAAGGAAAGAAGGTTCAAAGATGTTTTAGTGGTTTGTTAAAGATCACTAAATACTACCTATCGCAGGTATTTTTTCATACAAATTCAGATACTGTCTTGTCTAAGACTTATTTGCATTTGGTGATTCATTGTTTTCTATGTGAGTATGCAATTGAAATGGAGTTCAAAAATAACTGTTGACGTTCATTTCTAACATATAACTAAGCATATATCCTGATTTATGTGACTAATTTCTCAAGTACATATGTCCCCAGAGATTATGCAGGCAACAAAACTTACCCAACTACGTCTGAATTATTATAACTACTGAATTAGTGAAGTCCACATGGTTTTCTAGTTTAATCCAAAAGAACTGACATTATGGAACAGATGATGCTTCATTGGAGAGAATGTCTTTTTTATATAGATCAACTTAAAATACTCCACCACAGTTTACCAGTTTTTAATATTCAAAGAGCCTGACAGTTTCTCAGTCAGTGGTAAGCAACTATTTTTGAACCAGAACCAATGCAATGTAAAACTGTCTACATATCAAACTGTTTTCAGAAATTATGTTTGAAGCACCTTTCTTTGCTTTTCCTGGTTTTGAACGATTTTATTTGGGCAGTTAACATTTCAATGTCTGATTATAATGGGGAAAAATTATACAAGAGGAAGTTTGATGATGCTAGGAGAGAATTTAGAGTTCAACCATACAGTTGGAGGGGTATAGTGGTCACAACCCAAAAGACAGAAGGCGAGACGCATGCTACACTGCCTAAAGGGTGGTGCAGTTGGATTGTATCTTTTAATCTAATTTCCTGAGTCCACTCTTCTGAAATTTTCCCAACTTTCATCTTAAATCCTCCATGATTAACAAAGGAGGACCAGTCTAAAATCTAAAAGGACTTCAGGTTGTGCAGCAGTTAGCTAATACCCTCACAATAATTGACAAATGGGTGAAATTCAAGTCCTATTCCTTTAGGTTGGCTACTATGTCTGAGAGAATCGCCCTTTGTCTGAATAGCACAAACACTGGTAAGCGGCAGTATTCTTCAGGATTACACTCTACTACAGTCTAAACAAATGGGGTAGTTTACAGGTTGAAAATGGCAGTTAGGACACGTATCTCCCATAAATGTGCTTTGTTTGGCTCACATAAGTGTTACCTTTTGTTTGTTTGTTTTATACTAGTCAATATCTAAGAGTCAGGTATTTCACAAACAAATCAGACATTTGATTTTTTTTTCTTGAAAAGTCAAAAGATCTGGCAACTCTGGGCCCAACTCCAATGTGGTGTGACAACTATTCATTAAAGCTAAGTGGCGGCTGCCACCCACAAATAAATATGTACTTTCCACTGAGCCACAGTCCCCTCCCCTGCGTCCAATTCTCTCATTCAGTTGCCACCTGGCCCCTGCATGCATTTATGCTTTGATCTTTGGTTGAGGTGCTATACTGACTAGCCAGGTCCCACACACTAATTTCTTCAAGAGAAATTTCAGCTCCCATAGAGTTTCATGTAAAGAAAACAGATTATTATGACAAATTGGTTTTAGTTGAGCTAAATGTTCACTAAACTATAAAATTAAATTTCTTAGAAAAAAGATTGTTCACATGAGAAAATAAAGCAGGTTGAATTATTCAATAAAATGTGCTTCCATTAAAAAATCACAAATATATATTAGCAAATATATTTTTTTAGAAAGCTAATTCTTTTCCATCTGGGAGGTAGGCAATAGCTGGAACAGTATTTACCAGGTTTCCATACTCTTCTGAATTAGGTTCTTCATCCCCTTTCAGGAAAAGAGGAACAGGCCAACTATTGAGATTAAATCTTCAATTTATAACCTTCTCTAAATCACTCAGTACATAGTACTCCTTTGCATATATTTAGATTGAGTAATAGTTATAATATTTTTTGAGTAGCAGTATAAAATATACAGTTTATTAGAAGAATCTTTGAAACATTAAACCAACTGGACCCTTTCAGATACCATTGTGCTTGCTTGTGATGCTAAGAACTGTGGCTGACTCCCTGTTACCTTAGGGGAGGCACTCTGTCACACCCTGATCCCCAGCAATGACAGTATTCTTAACTCTGTCAGACCCAACACCACTTTATTGTAGCAAATGATTTGTAATATCCCACTTTACTAGTCTAAATGAAATTCACAGATCATGTGAGTCATGCACACATCATTCAAACATAAAATATCTTATAAATAATATATTTAAATATGTTTAATAATATGTATTTAAGTTAGTAAATCTCAAAACACAATCTCACCAGAAGATGTAGTTACATCCTTGCACCTACTTCGTTTTTTTAATGTATTGATTTAGAGAGAGAGAGAAACATCAATTTGTTATTCTACTTATTTATGCATTTATTTATTTGTGGGTTCCCTAAGGATTGAACCCATAATCTTATTATATTGGGACCAACCCAGCTACCAGGCCAAGGCCAAAAGGTAATCAGAAGCAATTCCATACAATATAGAGAAAATAAAATGGTAGAGGTACAAGTAGACGACACAGTAAAAATTAGTATAATCACGTATATTAAAACTGTGAAGAATATCTCATGTCAAAAGAATGGAAAGAGAAGTCACAAACTGGGAGAAAACATTTGCAAAAGAAACATCTGGTAAATGACTGGTAAATATACAGAGAACAGAATATAGAAATATAGAAAGAACTCTTAAAACTTAATAAGAAAAACTACCTGATTAAAGACTTTAACAGATACCACACGAGAGAAGATAGACAGATGGCAAATAAGCACATTAAAAGGTGCCCCACATCTGATGTCATCAGGGAAATGCAAATTAAAGCAACAAGGACATGCCACTATACATCTATCAGAATTGCCAAAATCCGGAACACTGACAACACCACATGCTGATGAGGAAGGGAAGCAACAGGAATTTTCCTTCATTGCTGGTGGGAATGCAAAATGGTATAGCAACTTTGGATGACAGTGGCTTCCTTATAAACCTGAACATATTCTTACCATACAATTCATCAGCTGCACCCCTTGGTATTTACCCAAAGAATTTGAAAACATGTCCACACAAAAACCTGCATTTGGATGTTTATGGCATCTTTACTCATAATTGCTAAACCTGGAAGCAACCAAGATGTCCTTTAGTAGGTGAATGGATCAACTGTGATGTATTGGATAATGGGATATTATTCAGCGCTAAAGGGAAATGAGCTATCAAGCTCTGAAAAGACATGGAGTAAACTTAAGTGCATAGTACTAAGTGAAAGAAGCTAAAATGAAAAAGCCACATACTGTGTGATTCCACCTATATGACATTCTAGAAAAGGCAAAACTATGGAGAGAGTAAAGAGAGCAGTGGTTGCCAGGAATTGGGGAGAGGGAACAGTGAATAGGCAGAGCACATGGGGTATTTAATTAGGCAG